ATCTTGCGTTCTGTAGAGCTGGGGTGGTACCAGTTCCTAGGGCAAACCCAAGTTCTTTTACATAAAATAGGATGTCTCAATCCATCCAGTTTGCCCGCGGTATACATGCTGTGGACAGCAAGACTAGTAGACCATGCAGTAGACCACCAGGAACTGATGACTCAACACTTTTAGTTCTGGCCCAAGTATACCTGAGCTTATATGAATCTCAACCATGTTCTTTATATTCATTCTTCAAGACTTCTGTGGCCATGGCCTTGTCTAAGTGTAACAACAAATAGCAGCCAATGCAGTTCAGCATTTGAATGACTGAGTTAGATGAACCACAGATAATCCATTTACTGGCTTAGGCAACTGATATTGAATGGTAGTCTACTGTAACAGGCAGAGCATATGATTAGAGTAAGATTACCCAGCATCTATTACTAGTTTATACTAACTTATTAACTCTATCTGAATCACTCGATTTCTTTATGTCTCACTTTTCTTATCTACCAAATCAATATACCTCTCTTTGCCCAGTCTATTTCACAAGGTTGTAATAAAGTTTAACTGAGATAACATGTGAAAAAGTATGTTAGAAGCTGTAATGCACTTCGTCCCCAGAGCCCATCATAGCATTTAGCATTCCATAAACCTTTGTTGGATGAATGAACGGATGAGTAAAATTTACAGTGTGATAGCAATCAAGAAAAAAATCACCCTGTTAGATATCACTTGTGTCTACACAATCAAAGTAAAGGTAGGTATTTGGGACAGCTACCTGTATAAATCAGGCCAAATTAAAATATTATTTAGACTTTTACTTGAAGACTTTTTAAACAGGTTATTTCAAAACATGACAGAAAAATATAGACTACTCTCAGTTTAGCTTGTTAAGTCCTTTGATCTGGAAAAATGCAAGATACTCTTACCCAAAGCAGGGAAAGACAGGCAAAGAAAAATTCAATATTGCTCAGACTTGGAGGCTACCTTTAAAACTACTTGAAATTATGAACTGAGATTCAAAAGTCTGTTTTGTTAGCTCCATTTGCTCCATGTTGACCAGAATCTAAATTTTATCGAGGACCACATTAGGCTTGGAGGGGTCCGAATAGGACTGGGAGGCATTGCCTAATGATTTCTCCTACCAGAAGTTTTCAGGGACTTACTATTGTTTTTCTTTTTCTATTTTTTTTTTTTTCCGCTTCCCAAAGCGTCATCTTTCTTTGGAAATGTTCTAGGAGCTGTTGGATCGGTTGAAACTATGTAAAGCGACTTTTTTAATTTCTTAAGTATATGCTCAAGAAAGATCAAAACCTAGCTGCTGTTCTGAGATCTTTTTTCCCTTCATTCTAGCCCAAACTACTTCGAGAGCAAAAAATAAATTTTAACCAGAAAATTAACCTTAGATACCAGTTTCTGGCCTTTCTTTTTTCCTGCAAAGCAAAAGATTCAATGGATCCCCATGTAAACAGGTTAGTTCTACTTCGGAAGCATAAACTCTAACCCTGTCAGCTATCTCACAAGGTCCAAAGGGACCTTGCTCAAGACTCAAGAACCAAAGCAGGTCATGTGAGTACCTCAGCATCAACCTCTGGCTCCCCATTGCCTAGATTCAAATCCCCACTCCATCACTTACTATCCTTGTGACCTCGGACAAGTTATCCTCTCTCTGCCTCAGTCTTCTCATCTGCAAAATGGAGATAGTAATAAGATAATAATAATAATATCTATGTCATAGGCTTGTGGTGAAGCTTAAATAAGTGAGTTAAAAGATTAAGAGAGTCCGGCACATTTAAAAGCTATGCTTGAGTTTGTGATGATGAAGGCGATGATGCTGGTGGTGGTGAAAATGCTGATGCCCCCTTCTCGGAATGCTACTCAAAGCACACATGAACCGCTGTGTTATTCAAAGTGACTTAAATCTCAGTAACTGGCATGCTGTAGAGAAAGGAGCGGGTGAACATTAACAACGCAGAATCCGGTTGCCACAGGAGATGCTCAACCGTGTTACTCAGGAAGCGTCCTAGCCTTTCTTTTTCTCTTTTCAATATGGGAAAAAAATCTCTGCAGATTCCAATCAAGATACTGAGCCCGTCACCCAAGACCAAACTATCACTTCTCACGTTGCCATCACTGAGGACAGATCATAAGAGCAAAGGAGGAGGACGTAAGGGGGAAGCAGTGAGAGAGCAGAAAGGCAGACCCGGGCTGAAGAAAGCCGTTGCCAGGTAACTGACAACAACACCACAGGGGACACTGGAAGAGCAAAACTGCCTAGGAAATACTGTTGATTAAAAATGCTTGTCTCAAAACAACTTTGAATGATTAGAGACAGAGAAATAATCTACAGAAAGGAATATGGACCACAGTAAAGGAAGTGACACCCCACCTCGTGAAGGACACACAGACTGGGGCAACCAAGGACACAGGAAATCCAGACCCAGCTCGGAGCTACACTGGGCTAAGCGTAGAGATTTGTGTAGCTGTTATCTATGAAACTGGCTTATTTTAACTATCTACTAATAATGATTAAGAGGGATGTGGTAGGCACCATGCTAAGCACTTGCTGATTGAAAGTACATTTGGAGGAAGCAGTGATAAGGATTTGAAATAATTTGAAGAATTCTGTTAAAATAAGCTGAACGGAAATAAAATTAACAAAACTACTCGGATAATATTTTAAACAAAGCCATGTGAGTTACATGTATTTTTTAAATGCAGCTAACTGATAAAGTGTATGACAGGTCATTGGAGTCCTCATAGCCACTGGAAAGCTAACTTATACTCTCTGGCTACTTAAAGGTAGAATATTCAACCTGCTAAAGTCTAGGACAGTATTTCCCTAAGAGATCGATAGAGCACAAAATCCAGAGGTTTGCTAGGTTAGTATGCAAAGAGACAAAGCAACTCTTGGTCTACAAATAATTGGAAAATACTGCTTTAAGCAAAGTGGAACTTCTTCTTTTGTTTCGTTACATTACGTTTTACTGCAGGACTTCTCAGAACCTTTAATGAGCAAATGAGAACGGTCAGTACATAGACAGGGACACCAGAGGCAGGATTTTCCAAATTATCTGATGAGAGAATTTTTCCCCAGCGTCCCCTGCAGCATCTCCCAGAACTATTTAGGAAATGCAAGGATTCATTTATTATTTTCCCAGGGATCTAGTTCATTCTAAGCCCCAGATATGTATCCATGTTCCTCAGAGAGAAAAGAATCAGAAGGAACCTTCCAACTACCTTTCCTTAGTATCAGTAAAAGTGACATAGCTGCTATAACATAAACCTCAAACCTCACTGGCTTCACAGAATATAGTTAATTTTTCCTTGAGCGATGGTCCCATGCAAATGGAATCGCCCAGGAAGCTTTGAAAAATACTCCATCTATTTTCCACACCCAGAAGTTCTGATTTATGGTTCTGGAGCAGGACTGAACACTGAGGAATTTTTTCCAAGCTCTTCCAGGATTCTGAGCCATGGATGAAATACACTGAACCAAAGGATTATAAGAGGTTCCTCACCTGGCATCTTCCCATTCAGACCTCTGTGTTAGTCTCTGAAGGCTTAGATTATTGATCAGTGTAATGTAATGTTTCAAAAATTAAAAAGAGAGAGAAGTGACAGAGAAAAGAGGATTATTTAACCAAAACTTATTATCTATACGCGAATCCCCAGTTAACTCAGCGTTCTGAGATATACCCTCATAAGCCTGTCTTGTTGATAAGCCCAGACTTTGTCCTTTCTGGTTCTGTGCCTGGTACTTTGCAATTATCTCAATGGGACTGGAGGACCAGTGCTATTTATTTATGCATTAAATATTTATTATTTCAGTCAGTAGAGGGTAGGGGTTAACGATGAAGCTCTGGGGCCACACACTTTGGAAACTGGATCCCCACCCACTAGCTGTGTGACCTTGGAAAAGTTGCCTAGCTTCCCTGCCTCAGTTTCCTCATCTGTAAAATGGAGACAATAATCCTAACCATTTCACAAAGTGCCATGAGGATTTAACAGGTTAATCCATGGAGAGGTCTAGAATCGTGACTAGCACATACTGAGTTTTCAACAAATGTTGGCTATTATAATTTGTTTTTATTTTCAAATGCAGGTTTCTGCTCTAGGTTGCCAAGGCTACAGAGACAATGAAAGCTATACCCCTGTCCTCAAGGAATTTACAATTGGGCATGGGTGAGGATGGATTGTGACAGATATGACTGGACTTCCGTAGTATTAGGTGTATATTGCTAGGAGGGCCTCCAAGATGCTATTAGAGGGGCAAACTGGGAAGGCTTCCCTGAAGAGGTGGCGTTAGATCCTTGAAGAGGAGGCTTTTCAGGGAAAGATGAACTCTACAGGCCGAGTCATGTGCTATTGAAGTGACATGGAAGAGGGGAAAGGATGAGTCAAAAAAAAACAATTATTGGTATCTGCAAAGAGACATTTATTTGCAATAGTGTATCAACCACACCAGGAGAGGCCACCCCCAGTCTTCAAAGTCAAGGACACGGGCTTCTGCCACATTCCCTGCACAGGATTGTACTTGTCTAGAGGATTGTACTCCCACAAACACTGCCTAACAGCAAGCTTGGATTTAGACAGACAGGCCTGCAGTTTTCCATGGTGTGGTTGTGGAAAGGTTGGCAGGGCTGTGGGTCCAGGAGTAGACAGGACTGGAGGCAGAATGGGCAGAGCAGGGGGAGGCAGGAGCTTATGCTTGGGAGTTTCACAAGGCACAGAAATTCCAGATCGTGTCCCTTCAGGATATCCTGTCATTCAGCCAGGGTACATATACAGTTGAGAGTAGCCAATCTCACCACAACCCCTGGATTTGCCACTTTTCCTGTCTAGAGGCAGATCTCACATGTCATCTGGTTCAATACAGGGAAAGGAGAGGAAAAGATTTAAAAACAAACACTGAAATGAGAAAGAATTCACTGGAAGTTCATCAGACGAAGTTAAAATAGGTAAATAGTTCTGGCGGGTGCCTGGCACAGAGAAGGAGCAAATATTTCCTCGCCATGCTACAAAATTTAATACTTTTCTTCCTTGGATTGGTGGTTCAAAATTTCTGCTCTCCACCAGAAACTGCAGAGCAGGTAAGATGAGACTCGAGGTTTTTGTTTTTGTTTTTTTTTTAATTTGTTAATTTTCACAATGTATTCAAAAGCTCATGCTATTCTGTGTTGTTATGGATAAAGAGTACTATCTGGACTTCATAAAATAAAGAGAAAGCCTGTGGAGAATAGGATCCTAATGGCAAACCATCTTTCTGAAGATGTGCTAACCCAGTTGGTTATTCCTGTGCTAAAACACCATTGTTGGGGGCTCTGATTTTAGTGTTAATATTCTTCTTTCTATTGTGGATTTTGAAATCCTGGGGTTTTCTTCGTTTGTTTGTTTTAGTCTCATCTATGCGAATACCTTCCATTGCACCGTTCTGAATGTAGAAAATAACAAGAGCTGTAGAGAGATGTTCTGGGGATTTTCAGTTTGGGCGATATCTGGCTGAGAAAGACGGTATTACAAAATGCGTTAGGTATTCTCTCGTCCCTCCACCTCACAAGTTGCAGTGAAAGTACCCAGGGCAGTTGCAGTGGTGGCCCCTGTGAAGTACATCAGCACGGTAGCTTGTCAAGCAGGTTCACATGAATTGTCCTCATAGAGTAAGTTCAGTGTCAGATCTGCAGCAAGGTCAGTCTAAAGGGGAATGTGAGAGGCAGTCCAAGTGACTAAACTGCATTTCACGAGATATGATTTCCGTTCTATTAAGAATAAAACTTAAACATGATTCTGCATCCGCGCCAGGCAAATGTGCATCAACACCAAGGTAACTCCAATTAGCTGTCTTCTGAGAGTGCTTTTCACGAAAGCGTTGGAAGATGGCATAATGGTTACGTGCTCCAGCTGTGAGGATAGATAGGGGTGAGTTTGACTGTGGTTTCATTTGTTTAACAAATATTTCTGAGGATCAGTGACTGTTCTCCGCAGTTTACTAGCTGTTCAACCCTGAGCACGTCATTTAGTCTGTCTAAGCTTCAGTTTCTCCCCTGACAGTGCTCCACAAGCAGCAGCAATTATCCTTCTCAACATCACCATCACCATCATCATCATGAGTGCTTGCTTTTTAGTGCAGAAATGTTGACTGATGCTTAAAGCTGAGTTTACTTTTCAAGAAGTGATCATATGAGAAGTAGAATGAGCCATTCCATTTGAAAAGGACAATTCAAGGGTCAAGGGAATTTTGAAAAGAGAATATTAACTTTGGCCTGCTAAGAAAGAAAAGACAAAGTAATGTCGCCTTATATACTAACCCACTTGGGAAACCTTAATGTAAAGAAAATCCTGCCTAAAGAAATATGGAGGTGTCATGACCATTGAAGGGGATTGATTCAAACTATATCTAAAGGTGGCTTTTATTATTAATCCATAAAGAACATTTCAGTGCTCTTTTGGTTCATAATGATCACCAAATGAAAGCTGCCAGTTAAAACAGAGATTTTGTCTTCCTATACAGTACTATAGCATGCTCGGGGAAGAGAAATGGCTAACCAAGGAATAAGAAGACCACTAACTTACAGTGTGACATTGGGCAAGTCACCGAACCTCCCCTCACCTCAGTAGTCTCCTCCCTAAAATGAGAATGATGACACCTGCCCTACTTGTCTTTAGGGTGGTCGAGATTGAATAAGATGATGCCTTTGGAAGTTTGTATAACCACAAACTGGTCTGTAAATGCAAGGTTTCTTCTCATACAGCCTTGACAAATTTCAATACACTTAGAAGTAGTTAAGACGTTCCCATGACCCCTAGCCTAGTGCTGGGCCCATGGGATGTGCTATGAGGTGATGAAGAAGTCTGAGAAGTGGCCCTCTGTCACAACGGGTTTTTAAAAGAGGAGCAAAGACAACAAAATGCACTCAATGGCCAACCATTGAGAAAAGGAGGAGAGATGGGTGCGGTTTTGTGGGTGTGGTGTTGTTAAACAGGGCTTGAAGGATATGAGGTTCGGGTCGCTAAGGGGAGGAGAAAGAACATTACTATCAGACGAAGCAACAAGCCAAACCACAGAGAAGGAGCTAGAGAAGCGATACAGGCATTAGCGCTTACTGCCTACAATATTCCCAATACTGGGCCAGGCAATTTGTACATGTTACATCATTTGAAGTTCTCAGTAACCTGGAGAGTAGTTATCAGTATCTCCCCCTTACCGATGATGGCAAAGAGTAAGGAATTCATTCCAGATGGTATTTAGCAAGATACTGAGCTCGATTCCCAGCTTATGTCTTTTGGCTCCCAAGTTCAGTCTCTCTTCATTATACAAAGCTGCTGTTTTTTAAGCTCAATGGAGAAATGAAGGGAACTTGAAAGAGGGGAGGAAATCCAGTTAGGAAGATCAGCACCAGCATCATGGGCAATGAGGGATCCTGAAGACAGGGCCCAAGTGAATCTGCATCGTTCATTTTATCAGTTCTCTGCTGCCCGATGTTGCTAATTGACGGTTTCTGGTGCAACTGTCTGATTTCCTACAATTCACTCATTCAATCAACAAATATTTACTAAGCATTGCTGTGTGCCAGACACAGTTCTAGGTGCCTGAGACAAAACAGCAAAGGACAAAACAGAAAAAGATCACTGCCCTTACAGAGCCCACATTCTAGAGCTCCATACAGTTCCTGCTCTAAGATGTTTGCAGTCTTAGATATCTTGGAGCAAGAACTGTATGCTCCATGGCATTTAGCACCCAGACTAGACTATTCCTGTGGAATTAATGCTGAAATGATATCCTCAAGACTTGCTGATCTGTGCCCAGTTGACCTTGAATAACCTGCCTTAACAATTTCCCATTTGAAAAGAATACAATCTAGTTCAGGTTTCCCATTAGGAAAAGTGTGTGTAATGAGGTTATCTTACCTTGCTGGACTCCAGACCTTAGATCAGGGATGGCAAACGGGTCATACAAGCAGCGCCTTGCACAGCCATGTC